TAAAGGGGAAGAAGATCGCCACCGGTCTGGTGTCGTTTAACTTTTGCCTCATCTTGTCTCTTCGCCTAAAGCGAAGTTTCGCTTTTTAGCCTGGTTGCCTCATGTCGCTCAAATATGATTGTGTTCACCAAAGTTGTGGAAACTTACATTCCCTAAGAAAGTGGGCCTGATGAAGGGATTCGTTGGCCGATCTCCTCATTTGTTCTGTTGTTCGATTGTCTTTAATACCACGTTCCGGTCGACGCAATTCACAAGACAATTCTTCTTATTTCAGATGGAAACTGGCTGTCGTTATAACACATGACGGACAGCATTGAGCCTAAAAGTCCTTTTTGCTAAAGTTTCTAGTTGACACCAAGTCTAGAGGACTATCCGGCTCTAGGCTACATGCTATTTATATACTCATAAACCGAAACGAAACTATACAAATATAGATAGATGGATAGATAAATATATAACGCTTTGGTTGGTTTACTTTAATTGTACTTACACCTGCGTGTATTGATGCGCACAAACATACACTCTCAAGTATGAGCAACACGATTTCTATCTTTATATATTAGTTTTTAGTTGTGAGTATATAAAGCATGTAGGATAGAGCCGGTTTCTTTGAATCTCTTGAGGTAACATTGTCGAAACTTTCATTTTGTATGAATGCTCAAGATAAAGCGATGTGTAGTTCGAGCTCACCGAAAGACAACTCATGCTTCCCTTTGTTCTGCAAACGACTGTCTTTATTACGACATTCCGGCTGACGCAGCCCACGATACATCCTCCCATAGCTTTCGGTGAAAATGGGCCGAACTTTTTTCCATCATGCTACATAACGGACATTGTCAGAGCTGGAGGGGATTTTTGCGGAGGCTCCAAGTTGGCGCAAAGTCAGGAAGACGTTTCGGCTCTATCTCACATACTATACACATTCATGCGTAAACAGGGGAGTAGAACACTATAGATGGATTTCGAATGTCTCTATTGCTCATTTTTTATATTAAGCATATTAAATATAAGGTATGAAGACCAAGATGGTGTGGCCTTTTGTGTGGTCGCAGTCTCCTTTCGTTGTATAGA